CAATCACCCAACCCACAACTGCCTCAACAACCTCCAACACCGCGACTTCAGCCATCACTGCGACAACCATCAGCCCCACAACCTCCAACACTGTGACTTCCGGCAGCCCCACAACCACCTCCACAACCACCCAACCTACAACTGCCTCCACCACAACCACCAACACCGCGACTTCTGCCGACACTGCGACAACCATCTGCCCCACAACCTCCAACACTGTGACCTCTGTCAACACCGCGACCTCAACCAGCCCCACAACATCCAACACTGTGACCTCAGGCACGATTGTCACCTCCACCAGCCCCACAACCTCCTCTGCAACCACCCAACCCACAGCTGCCTCCACCGCAACCTCCAACACTGCGACTTCTGCCAGCACCGGAACCTCCATCAGCCCCACAACGTCCAACACTGCGACTTCTGGCAGTACCACAACCTCCACCACAACCACCCTACCCACAACTGCCTCCACCACAACCTCCAACACCGCAACTTCTACCGACACTGAGACAACCATCAGCCCCAAAACCTACAACACTGCAACTTCTGGAAGTCCCACAACCCCTACCACAAACACCCAACCCACAACTGCCACCACCACAACCGCCAGCACCGCGACTTCTGCCGACACTGAGACAACCATCAGCCCCACAACCTCCAACACTGTGACTTCTGGAAGCCCCACAACCCCTACCACAATCACACAACCCACAACTGCCTCCACCACCACATCCATCACCGCGACTTCTGCCAACACCGCCACCTCCATCAGCCCCACAACCTCCAACACTGTGACCTCTGGGAACACCGGGTCATCGAGCAGCCCCACAACCTCCAACACTGTGACTTCTGGCAGCCCCTCAACCACCACCACAATCACCCCACCCACAACACCCTCCACCACAACCTCCAACACCGTGACATCTGCCGACACTGCGACAACCATCAGCCCCACAACCTCCAACACTGTGACCTCAGGCACGACTGTGACCTCCACCAGCCCCACAACCTCCTCCGCAACCACCCAAACCACAACGGCCTCCACCACCACATCCATCACTGCGACTTCTGCCAACACCGCCACCTCCATCAGCCCC